TTGTGATTTATTTTAATGGGAGGGATTTAAGTGGAACTTGATTAAGGGGGTAGGTAGTTAAAAGGAAACAAATAAGGAGGAGGGACTGAACAGGAATTTGAAAAGGGACTTAGGGATTTTTAAAGAAGTCACCCATTGATGATTCTGTTGATTTTTTGGCGCTTTTCATATTATTGTCTATGATTTTAATTTTCTTAAATCCATTACTTTAATAGCAATATTAATAAATTGATTATAATCACTAATAATTTGTATTGAGTTCGTATAGCTAGTATGAAATTTGTAGTTTAACTCGTAAATTATATGTAATTATTTAGATTATGAAGAATCTTAAATATAACATAAAAGTCATCATATTTACTAATATATATATATATATATATATATATATATATTATACACATCACAGTACCATGATAGATGATCTAAATTTCAACCGAACAAAATGAGATGATTTAAATTTTAACACACTTATGCGTTTGACCAAATGTCTGGATGATTTAAAATTGAGCCCATAAAAATTATTTAAATTTGAACACACCAAAATTTTTATGTACTTTTTATTTATAAACTATTTTAATGGTTGTTATATAAACTATTTTAATATATTTGCAACGAATAAAATTTTGAATGAATAATTTGTAATGTTATTCATTATGTTTGTGACTTATGAGACACGAACACATAACTCCATATATATTTGTCAGAAGGCGGCTTAATAATTTTCAAAGATTCTTCAAAGCTGTAATGAATCAACAAATCGTGTAATAAATAAAAAATTAGTAAAATGTTTCCTGCACTGATAAAACGTTACAAACTCATAAAGTATGAAAAACTTTTATGTTTGTTTTTTTTTAACTTTTATGTTTGGTTAGATTGATAACATTGATCCAACAAATTCATCTTTCCTGTTTGGTCAAAATAATAATCAAACTTTATAAATCAATAAGCTAAATGTTTGGTCAGATTAATAATCAAACTTTATAAATCATTAGCAAATAAAAATCAGTCTTAATTGAATATTGAGTATGTTGTAAATTTGAATGTAGAGTATGTTGTAAATCAATTCACACGGTTATATTTGTGATAATTAAAAGTAACAAACTAAAAAAAGAATAAAAAATTTAAATGACATGTGACATGTATCCCGCTCCGAGAAAACCTTTATCTTATAGCAGAATGTTAGCTGCATCTAATCTAATAGATGTGTAGAAGAACACGATGGATAAAAAACCTCATCATAACGAGAAAACTTTTATCTTATAACAGAATATTGGCTGCATCTAATAGATTTTTTTTTTTCTATTTGCAACCAACATTCTAGCTATACTATAGTACAACATTATATCATTAAGAATATATTATAATTATATTATCAAATCATAAAATGATATTAAGAGGACTCGAACCTCCACGCTCTTTAGCACGAGATTTTGAGTCTCGCGTGTCTACCATTTCACCATCAAGGCATCTTGAAAGTGCATCCAATTCCATGAATAGGATATCTATCTAGTGTGATGTATGAAATATATGACAAGGGTAGAGTCTTTCTATTGATCGGTCATATAGGCCCGGGTTGGACATTAGCTCAGAAACGTTTGGATCCCAACCTCAATACCCACAGCGGTAGGGATGAAGAGCGCCAAATGTGTCTAGGGGATGAGGCTTACTCCCGGTAATTATATCGAAGCGCATAATAGGTTGAAGATCACAAGACAAAGCAAATTCACATCCTCAGATATTGGCCTGAGAAATCCTTATCTTCTCTCGCTCGATTGGGCGCTACTTGCCTATTGACAGAAGTAATCTCCGAAGCTGTTATAGTACTTCGCTCACTCCTACCACTTTACTTGATAGGGCTAACTCCTCTTTTCGAACGAGGGTTTGTGCACTCCAGCAAGAAGACCAACTAACACCTCCGAAGTAGAAAGAGTAAACACATGAACAAGCAAGGGAGTAGGCAAGGAAAGCAAGCAGTCGTGGAAGCCTTATTGCCGTAGAAGGGATTAATCCATCTTTATTGTACTATACCTTAAGGATAGATAGAAAAAGTTGGGCAGTACCAACTTTGATCCCAGTAAAGGAGCAATCGGAGTCTTCGCAAAGTCGTAAGACCATGTATGGGGGCTGACGCCTGCCCAGTGCTGGAAGGTCAAGGAAGTTGGTGACCTGATGACAGGAGAGCCGGCGATCGAAGCCCCGGTGAACCGCGACCGTAACTATGACGGTCGTAAGGTAGCGAAATTCCTTGCAATTACTCGATACAACGATCTATTAGATCGTGTCCTTAGACATCGTGATGCAATCATATCACATCTCAACTGGGCATGTATATTTCTGGGCTTTCACAGTTTTGGTTTGTATATTCATAATGATACCATGAGCGCCTTGGGCCGTCCCCAAAATAATAATTAAATATTATATGGTGAACAAGAATAAGTAAATATTATATCAAGGGATAAATATTATATGCTTAAATTTTTATTAGTATTAATGTTTTAGTGAGGTAATATATGAATTATTTTACAAGTTAGCCCTAACATGCTCATATTTAATGTTATGACTAAAAAAACAACGCTAGCTAAAAGATGTGGAAAAAAAGCTTATAAGACTTAACGTTGATTAAAAGATGTAGAAAATAGATAATAATCCTATTACTTTTTAGACTTAAACGAAAAATTCTGTAAAAATAACTCATTTAATATCTCTGTCTCGTGCGTCGCACGCATTACGTACTAGTTATTACGATGGAAACTGATGCTCATATCATTTACAATTAATTAGTCTGTATAAGCTCATACTACATTTTTTGAAATTTTTTGTGAAAATATTTATAACAAAACATACACAAATCATTCATGAAATGAGTCTTTAAAAAATAAAAATAAAATATAAATTAGCGTATTTCCAATTTAAAACAATTAAAAATAAAAAGTTCATAAATATTCAATTTATACTCAAAATCTAACTCAATTTTAACTCAATTTTATTATTCTCAATATTATTAATATAATTGAATAATGCCAAACAATCAGTCTTATACATGAGATCAACTTTAATTTACTATTTACTCACTCACTCAATTCACATCATCACTCTTTTACTTTTACATCAAATCAACTATAATAATTTTATTATAAATGTTGTTTCAATATAAAACCAAAATTTTACTATCAACCAATCATATAATAATTTTTTTAAATTAACTATGTTTAACAAAATAAATTATTTTGAACGAAAATATTTGTATACAAACACGCTCTAAAGAGCGGATGATAAATGGGTACCCGTGGGGACCAGTCCTGACAGTCGAGAGCACGGCCCAACAATATTAAAAATAAATAGGCCCAGGCCCAACAACTAACTCCGACGTTGTCTTCCTAGAGGCACATTTGCTCCGCCATAGCCGAAAGCTTCGCATCTGACCTTAGCAACGTATTTCCTCTGAAATTATCTCGAAGGTGAAAGAAAATGGGAAGCAGATTAGGAAGAAGAGTCGTGAGCTTTGCCAACCTACCCATAAAGCTTCTCATGCCCTCAACTTTTTCCAATATTACCGAAATTGCCCTCAAGACCATCCCATCCGCTTCGAAGGTTGCGCCCCAAGAGCTTTGATCTGCCATTTTTTCCGGAGGTTTTTCTTCTGATTTTGGCTTTTCTGTATTCCGTTTTGCAGATAGAGATTAGGAGGGTTCTGGAGTCGCTGTACGGATTCGAGGTGGAGAGGGTCCACACTCTCAACATGGAGGGGAAGAAGAAGAAGCGTGGCGGGCTGTTGCTCGCGAGGCCGGATTACAAGAAAGCTTACGTGACGCTGAGAAACCCTCTTTCGCTAAACCCTGATCTTTTCCCTATTAGGGTAATCGAGGAGGAGAAGAAGAACATGAGCAAGCAGGCGAAGTCGAGCATCGTGGAGGATCCGGAGACCGTGAGGAGCTCCCACTGGCTCGACGAGAAAAGGGACGGCGGCAGGTTTAAGTCCGGCGAGCAGCGTAGCTTTGGTGGGCGGACGAGGGGTCGAGGGGAGAAGGTTGACTCCAAACCGGTTGCCAAGTTTCCGTGGAGCAGCATGACCTCTATAGGGAGGTAACGCTTGTTGTTGTTCCAATTGAAGGTTTTTTTTTTTTTTTTTTTTTTTTT